CACTGCAGATGAAGTGTGGAAGAAAATTTCCGATAACCTAAACAGTCATGGATCCATTTTAAAGCTAAGCTTAAGAAGAAAATGTCGCAAAATAAAAGAAATCTTAACGCCACAGGTGGTGGTCCATCACAAGAAGTGCGTCTATCGCAGTTGGAGCAAACCACAAACTTTTAAAAGTGGAGGAATTGCTGTTCATCTATAGCATACTTTGAAGTTATATTGAAGAGTCTCCACTATGTATACTACGGCATCTTTTGGAAGCCGAAAATACGCCTTAAACGTGAAATAGTTACATGATTATTCAGACCATTCCGACGTGACATATACTTACAGCACCGATGGCAATTCCAACGGATTTGAATTATCTCTCAAGCTTCATCGAATAGATGCAACGTCCTGAACATTTTCTTCTTCATCAAAAAATAATTCCACTGAACTTATTATTTTAAAACTCTTTTATTGTTTAAATTGTGTTTTGTTATTTCGAATTTATTGACATTTTTGAAGTTTAGAGTTCACAAGATGGAAAATACACTGATCGATAACACGTTTATCGACAACTCAATTGGGTTGCCTTCTATAATACAACATTTTAGTTCAGTCGCGCTGACAATTGATAACGCAACCCAAGTTTGGTGGCAATGCATAATCGAGCCATAAGAATTTAAAGGACCCCACGTTGGGCGCCATTATAGTGCGTGAGTTACGATTATACAATCATAGGACATGGCTTGGCTTTCGAATTTGGACCTCTATTAACCGTGCTTTACCGCTATTATTTGTACTTCACAATTCACCCTCTTTCTCTACCATTCGTACACAATGTCATTTGTATACCCTCCACCTTGGAAAGGAGAGTATATTTATTAACATCCCCAAATATTCGTTGTAGACCCCATAAATTATATATATTCATAATCAGCATAAAATTCTAAGTCGATTCGACGATGTCCGTCCGTCTGTCTGTCTGTTGAAATCACGATATAGCTGACATTATTTGACGTAGAGCTTCAAAATTTATCAGAACAATTTGTATTATGTCCAGGATGGTTGGTATTGAAAATAAGATATATCGGTCCACGTTTTCGTATAGTCCCCATATAGCGGGATCTCCCGATATTCCCTATTTTGATGATTTTTGCCACATTTTTTCACGGATTTGCCTAAAAATTGGTATTTGTTGGTCATAATGAGTTCTAGCATCGGTGGCAAAATATTGTATGTATTGGTTCACGTTTTGGTATAGTCCCCATATAACGGTACCTCCCAATATTCGGTATTTTGATGGCTTTTTATCACATTTTTTCACGTATTTGCTTAAAAATTGGTATTTATTGGTCATAATTGGTATTTATTGGTCATAATGGATTCTAGCTCCGGTGGCGAAGGATTGAATGTATAGGTCCAGGTTTTGGTATAGCTCCCATATAACGGTACCTCACTATATTCGGTATTTTGATGATTTTTGCCACATTTCTTCGTGGATTTGTCTAAAAATTGGTATTTGCGGACGAACTTAATATTTTTTTACTTGTTTTCTTTAATTTAGGAATTCTTTTTATACCCTACAACACTATGAGTTGGGGGTATTATAAGTTTGATTGGGCCAAAAATTATGTAACACCTCGAAATATTGGTTTCCCACATAGGAAAGTATATATGGATCTTTCTATCTCGCCGAGATGAGTCGATCTAGCTATGTATGTCCGTTCGTCCGTCTGTCCATGTTAATTTGTAATCAAGCTACAGGTTGCAATTATGAACCGATCCTCCTAGAACCCTATTGTTTTTGGAGATGATCGCACTATATTTAGGGGTTGAAATGGACCAAAAACTGAAAAATTTCCTGATTTTGCAGTTGCTCTATAGGCCACAATTATGAACCAATCGATGCGAACATTTATATGGAGTTAGAGTTTAGGAGTGGGCAGAAATCTACCAATTTGGGCGGCCATCGGACAATAATTAGCGGGTAAAATAGACCCTAACTTTTATGTAAGAAAATAGGAAAATGTCCACTAAACCGCGAATATTTTCCATCTCAGCCAAATTACAAATACATTAAAAGATCACTTCTGATGCTAATAGCCAAGAAATCGGATATATAGCAAAATAGGTGAAATATAAATGTAAAAGAATTGATCGTATTTATTCTGCTTATAAATCAAGAACCTCTGGTCCGATGTTCACAATTTCCATCAATTCGGAATGGTCTCTTGCCAGAAAACGATAAAATCTAAGAAAATCGCGGAAAAATATGCCAATAAAAAGTGAATATCTTTTTTTCAATTTTTGTCATATTTTTTATCGCATGCGATTTTTTCAATTTGACTTACAATTTTGAATTGTAAATTCTCTAAATTTTTACGCCCCCAAACGCCACGTTTTGAGGGTACTATATGCATACCGCAATTATCGTCCGATCCTCACGAAATTTTGCATGAAGGTAGGGTTAGGGTCAGAATTAAAGCCTATTATTCTTAAGATCTACATTTAGAGGTGCAAATGGACTAAAAAATTTAATTTTTTCTAATTTTGTAGTCGCTCTATAGGCCACAATTGAAAACTAATCGACACGGAATTTCGCATCAGAAGAGAGTTAAGGACAAGGAAGAAGTCTAGCATTTTGGATGACCATTGGATTATATTTAGCTGTAAAATGGACCACAACTTTCGTGTGGAAATGTTTTGAATACTTAACCACACTACGGAGTGCGTAAATATTGGCCAAATTCTTCGGGTCAAAAACTAAGGGTAACCTCTGGGCGGGGCTATTTGACATTATTTCAAAAACGAAATCTTTCCAAATGGATTTGGATATAAGGGGACTTCGAACATATTGTAGTGTTGTAGGGTATCACATGCTCGGCCCCGCACGACTATAGTCTTTGCTTACTTGTTTTATTTTGGGTTAAAGTTAATGTTATGCAAAGTGCTAATTTTTTGCTGGCAGAGAGGAAAAATCGCCTTTTGTCTATGGCTGGTTTAGGCTGAGTACCACATGATTACTTGATGTGAAATGGTGGGATTTCCGTTGTCTTTCGAATATTAAATTTCGTTTAGTATTTGATTCAAAGTTGGTTACATAGTCTCATTAGATCTCTGATCAAGAGAAATATTTAGATATACCAAGTTTGAAAAGATTTACTGTCGTTTTTTAGCAAGCTAGCAGCAAGTATAAGAAATTTTGCTGGAAAACGTAAATAAAAACATCCATGTGTTGAATGTTGGGAAATAAAAAGACACTCAAATTCTTGAAGGTGTAATGGACTTGGAAGCTTCACGAGACATGAAACATATTAACACATGAATATTGGAGCAACAAGAGAAATGAACAGTGGTAGATTTTTCGTATCACATCAAAACAAACTTCCAGACCAGAGTGTTATTTTACAAGTATAAAGGCCGGGGCGAACCTTTAAAACTCTCCACCATTTCAACGGAATTTTCAAATTTCCGAATATCAGGTCTTACAGTTATGTCGGACTATAAGAAAACTTGGACCCTCATCTGCCAATGAGGCGGTAAAAACTAAATACCAAATTTGAGATCATTCTCTTGAAGATTGTAGCTAAAATCATCAAAATACCGAAAAATCGTATTAGGGGGGCTATGCGAAAACGTGGATCTGCACTGGCCAATTATTTTGTCATAGGAAGTAAATTCTGAATTTGAAATAATTCCTCTCAAAAGTGTAGCTAAAATCATCAAAATACAGAATATTGGCAGGTATCGTTATATGGGGCTATACGAAGTACGTGGACCTGCATATGCAATTTTCTGCCAGTGGAGGGAGTATCCATTACGTACTCCAAATAGCAAATTTGATAAAATATGGGTGAAAAATGTGACACAAATCATCAAAATAGCGAATATTGGGGGTCCAGCTATGAGGTCCTTTCAAAAAAGTTCCCAAAATGCCAAATTACCGCAAATTCTTTTTTAAAAATATGACTAAAACCGCCAAAATACATTAAATATTGCGGAGCTATATCAAAATATATAGCCCATTTTCAATACGAAAAATTCGTCAGCCTACTTCATGTCGTTCGGGAGCTAGAGTGATTTCCACAGACGGCCATGGTTAAATCCAAGGAACAATGAAAAGGTAAGGTAGAGGATTGTATTGTATTTATTTGTATATTGTATTTATTGTTTTGAAAATCGAAGAAAAAATATTTTCAAAATCAATGAATGGAAAAAACGTATATTGCGATACGGGTTCTACAGATATTTGCCAGTTTTGCCATTCAATTGAAAGATTGGACTGTTTGTATCATATTTTTTAAGGAATATCCAAATATTTCATCATTTTAAAAATATGGAAAATACAAAATAAATGAAATCAATTTTTTTGCACATAATTTTGAATAATTCTGACAGAAAGCGTGCATAGTCTCAGATCTGTATTTCTGTAGTTTTACGAAGCGAAATCGACATAGAATCTTATACTGATCAAGAATATAAATTATTATTTCGAGGAGTTACAAACGGAATGGCCAACTTAATATACTCTTCATACTTTGTACGAAAAAATGTATCCAAAATTAGCTGATTTAAAGTTGAGGCTGAGACAGTGTGGGTATAAAGGTGCAAAATAACATAACGAATATCTTCCTGATGATATTGTTTTATTGATGACACGTGAGTCACTTTGTATCTGTCAGTTCATATACACCTCATCTGTACATATTTCACCATATTCCTTTGTTTCGCATAGACTATTATTTGCCACTTTCAAAATAACATTTTTATAGTTTTTTAACATCTACTTTAGATGAATCGATCACCTTCTTTAAAATAATAGGGTTCCCGGGCAAATATTTCGCGATGTTGAAAGGGAAATGACAAAGGCTTCCAGAGACATTTTGTTAAACATTTAGAAAAAAATTGTTTCATAAATATTTTTTTGTTTTGCAATTTATTATTGATTTTAAAAGATGTTATTTTAAATAACATTATTATTTTGTTTGCAATATATATAGTTATAAAGGAATATGTTGTTTTTTTGTATATCTAATAAAACTTTGTTCCTATAACTTGTTAGGGTTTGTAGTTATGATAGTTATTTTATTATTTGACTATTTGACATTTGTTTTTTTGCTTTGTTTTTATTACACTATAATATGTTTGAAATTTAAATACATGGAAAAAGAACTGTTACAATTACTATTTATTATTTGTTGTTCCTTGTTGCTTATATAAGATGTGATGTATATTGTTTTTGTTTTTTTTTTTAATAGTATTTTCTTTTGTAATTCAATAATTTTCCATTTTTTGTTTAGTTATGGTTTCTATTTTCATTTGTATTTGGCACAATTGTTACTAATTTAAAATTAAAAAAAGGAAGAAAGAATAGAATAGAAGAGAACAGAAGTGTTTATTTTTTATACATTGCATAAATATAGATTTAGATATATAGTAGTTGTAATTTGATTATTAATTTTGTTTTGTTTCGTTTCTTTTCTTTTGAATTGCTGGGCAATGGTAGTGATATATGTATATGTATGTATGTTTCGTTTTTGTAGTTTATGGTCATTGTTGTTTTGCTTTTTTTTTTTTGGAATTCATCCTTCATTTATTTATTTGATAATTGAGCCGAAGGAAGTGGATATGCATGATTAAAATAAAATTTCCAATCTCATATATACTATGTATATATTAAGGTATGTAAAATGGAGTATTTATGTCATCGGAAAATACAAGATCAATATTTTATGTGTGTGTGTGGGTGTGTATATTTTAGCGTTTACACTATAAACAATACTTTTTTTAAAAGACTAGAATTCTATTTAAAACTAATTAAAGAGAGAGAAAAAAGTACACAAATTACGGAATATTAATAAAAGCAATTTTAAAAAACAATGTTTTTTTTTTTTCACTGTGTCTAAAATAGCATTGCATTGCAGATACTTCAGAAAAAAGCCTGATTCGAAGCGTTCACTTTCTTGTGGTAAAGTGTAAATTTCAAAACACATCATCACACATTCCATTGTGTGGAAGAATCCAAACTTCTTCACTTAAGAAGTATATACGATTTTTTATATGCACACAGTGTATTTAACTAAATACCATTGTTGTATTATCTTAAACTGTTAACCATTCACTTTCAGTACCATGGATTTTAGATAAATTTTCCATTTAAATTGTATGTTATTTAATAGTTTTTTTCTTTAAATTAAAAGAATATTTTTAGACTGTTTTACTTAAAATTATATATTAAATCTACACAAAGATGTCAAAGAAGAAGAAGAGCGTTACTTTTTTTTTCTAGGGTGAAGTTTATGATCCTCCACCTCAAAACACAAAATGCATTAGAGATTTACAACAAAAAAGGTAGTTTTTAATTAAACGTATGCAGAACTTAATTATGTCTTTGACGTACGCGCACTTTATACAAAATTAAATTGTAAAATATAGTACACAGTTTCTTACAAAAAATATATATATATTGTATTGTTTAAATGAATTCGTTTCATTTTCTTTTGTTTTGTTTTTCATATTGTTTTCATTTGTTATCATTGAAAGAGAGGCAGCCATATTGTAAAATTTGGTATTAGTAATTGGAAAAAATTGAACAACATTATTACAATAACACATACCCGACTTGTAATAAACCCCATTTGCCCACCTTTGGTCATGCATTTTATTTCATTATTATTATTTGTTGTTGTTGTTTTAAAGTGGCTATGCCAATTAATAAATTTAATCGTCCCACTCATCATCATTACCCGATGATTCGGATTCATCATCAGATGATTGCATTACACGACCCCGATCTAATAGTGCTCTTCTCAGAGCATCAGCCAATGCATCGGTACCAGAGACATGTTCATCGCTGGCACGATTTGAAGGAATTTCACGACTACTAGCCGGTTTAAGTTCAAAGCCCATACGAATTTCAGACATAAGGTCGCCATGTGAATCGCCACTGCCAGTGCTAAGGGCTGATGTGTCCACTTTCTGTAAAGAGAAAAAAAATAATTTAATAATAACATATTATCATATTGGTAAAGACATAATCATGAAATTTAAATAAATATATAATAATATAATGCGAGAGATGCGATATGACCCTACTATCCTAGATCTGTGAAAAAAAAACATCTGCATTCGCTTCCTCTGTCAGAAGGCTAAAAGCCAAACAACAGCATCGAAGTATTAACCCAAGAACAAACATTAAACCCTGAGTAACCTACGGTGTACAGTCATTAACAAACCTTAACTTAAGGTATATTTCACTTATAATCAATGGCTTCTGATTAAAGATCCTCTTCGGGTAATTATCTTCTCGGGTGTATGTAATATCTGAATCTGAAATATTCAATTCGCCAATATCAGCTTTTTGAAATGTAGTAAAAAGCCCTCCAGAAAAAATATCCACGTTTTCTGAACTAAAAAACCTCTAGAAAATTTACTTAACTGATTCACAAGAATGTCCTTCCAGAAAAAAACATAAAAAAACAGAAACAATTCTAAAAAATATTATTTATTTGCTCTGAAAGCTCCTGTCAGCAATTCTTATAAATTCACGTTTATTGCCACGAAAGTAACTGCGGACATTTTATTTTAAATCTACGTTTTTCTGCAAAATGTTCGAAAATTCAAATATTTCGGTCTGAAATTTCTTCCGTAAAAATACCTCGTCTAATGGTCTGGCAATTGATGGAAATTACCTCGGAAAAGATTTCTTAAAAAATCCAAGTTTATTGGCCTGGCATTGGCTCAGAAAAAATGTTGTAAAAATCTGCATTTTCTAGACCATGGCTCAGAAAATTTTTGAAAATCCGTATTTTGAGCATTTTTAAGCCACGCAGTGGATTTAAAATATGCCTCAAAATTCGGGTCTGACAGTGGCTCAGAATAAAGTGCTTTCAAAATCCACATATATTGTCCCGATAGTGCCGTGGCTCAGAAAAATGTTTAAAAATCGTTTGCGGTCTTAAAAATATGCATAAAAGTTAACGTTTTTTACTTTTATTAGAGGGAAAGAAGGCGGTCACAGAACACCTCCTTTTCTAAACGAAAACAAAAATAGACTATGCCCATGTAGAGGAACTGCAGTGCGGCTGCGGAGATAGATACACGGATAGATAGTGAGGATGAAAGCATGATTTAAAAGTTACTCTTTTCATATTTCTCTTCCTGCCGAAAACCGATTCATCAGACCAAGATAAATTGAAATGTTGAGGGCAACTCATAATTGATTGTGACACCGCTTCTTTTGGAGAAGGATAACCAACAAACGAGATAAATCTCTATGTGATTGGTGTACATCACTAATCTTAGAACAGAGGCAATCCAATGATTTCCTTTTTTAAAATAACGTGAAGATATGCTTTAATAGAAACTTAATTGTCCTGTGCCGAAGTCTGATGGATCACGATGGAGAATGGTACGGATGTAGACCACTTTGGGGTATTAACATTTCTCAACCAGTCGTCAAGCGCCCAAATCTTTACCGAAGCCTTGAAAATGAGCCGATTTTCCTGAACTAAAGTCAGGTTTTAGTTATATGTTTCGACCACAAGGCTATAATATTCGAAAGACTTTTTAAGTTACCACAGCGGTCTGCAATAATATAGGAAGTAGAAATCAGGCTTTCAAGTCTCTTGCCGGCAGCACTTGTCCAAGGCACAATGCCCTCCTGAGAAATGCAACATAACACCAGTAGATCATTTACATAAGAAGACGAAAGTTCTCTCTTAAGTCTACTTGGATGTTACAGTGGGTGTCATTCAAACCACTATATGGTGGATAGAAGTCCCGCCACATAGAGGCAACGTTTTAAAACCAGTAAAGAAAGTCTTAAAGTCGGGCGGGGCCGACTTTATGATACCCTACACCACTTTGCTAATTTAGTAGACCTCAACATAACAATTAAAAGTTTTTATGGGAGAATTCAATGCTCATTTGGTGCACAAATAATTTAAAATCGGATCTATCTCGTTCTATGGGTCTATCTCGTTTCCTTTTGCCTGTTACAAACAAATGCACAAATACATAATACCCTGACCACCTTGTGGTGTAGGGTATAAAAAGACCTTCCGGATCAGGAAGTCTATCAGGCATGCCTTAATAGAATTAACACTGATGCAGCCACCCATGTAGTCAAGCACAACAGCATAAATGTTGTCCTCGGAGTCCACCTCCCAATTACAGTTGAAGAACGTCGCCTAGACAAAGCAGATTAGTTTTGGCCCCATTATGTTTCGAATGGTGCAGCCGCTTCAATTCTACTGGCCGCAAATTGATGAAGAAATGTCTGCCCAGCGTGTGATACAGGATGTCTAAGCGGAACCCTAAAAGCAGATTTAATACAACCGAATATACGAACGGATCATAGCGTTCAAATTGGTAGTTTATATTGACTACCACAAACAAATCATTAGGTATGAGAAAAGAATTGAAAATTTGTTGTAACAATGTGCCGAAGATTTAAGTGTGGTCTAAGAAAATATAGCGTCTATTAAAGTCCTAGAACTCTACTATTGTCTGCAGAGCGTTAAGACATTATATCCTCTATAGTAGAACTGAAGATTATCTCTCTGAGTCAAAGTTATGGCTACTACCATACATTTGTAGATTTTTCAAGAATGTGCGATTTTTCAAGAATAAGTTTCGAAACTTTTAACAGATATTTAAACAAATCAAAATTAATTTGTATGGTACACAACAAAATGTTTTACCTTAAGTTGTACGCCTTTACGTATGCTATCCATAAGTTCACTACGTGTATCAGATATTGGTGGTAAACTAGATGGAGCCTTAGTTTCAGTTTTAACATGCGTTGTTGTAATTGAGGGTACTTCACCCATAGCCGGAGGTGGTGGCGGTGGTGGAGGTGCAAATGAAGCCGCTGGTGGTGGAGGAGGTGGTGGCTGTTGAGAGAAAACGAAAACAAACAAATTATTATTAACAGTCCCCAAACCTGCAAAAGATAAAATCATTAACATACCGGTGCTGTACTAGGAGCTGGAGGTGGTGGTGGTCTAGAGGGTGGCGCAGGAGCTCTTGAAAGACCAGGCACTGTTGTAGGTACTGGTGGTGGAGGTTGTCTAGCTGGTGGTGGAGGTGCAGATCTTGGTATTGATGTTGTTGTTGTTGAAGTCGTAGTATTGCCATTTTGAGCCTTAACAAAATATTGGAAAGAAATAATTTATTTAACCAAGTTGTACATTTTTTATAATTCGTAGCAACAACTTACATGATGATGGTGATGTCTTGTTGGTGGCGGTGGTGGGGGTGCCGCAGCTATTGTTGTTTTTGGTTTCTCCACATTCTCCTGTTTCACAATATCCAAAACATTTTGATTCTGTATAAAATCATAGATGAAAGCCCTTGTATCACGATCGCTAAGCTGGTGTTTCGATACGCCAGCCTTGGCAAAGAATTGCGTTAGAACTTCATCGTTTTCATCGCCCTGACAATCGAAGCCCTTATCATCATCCCAGCCGACGTGTGAAACGTGACGGAAATTGGTCGGTGCACCAATATCACATTTATTAACTTTGGGTTTTTGTTTTTTGTTGTTGGAAGACGACGACAGCGAAGAGAACAGATGTTTCGATGTTGGTTGCACCGGAGCTGGGGCTGGGGTAAAATTGATAGTACCAATTTTGGAGGCATTGTTACGCAGCTGTACAGTATTTGAATCCGGTTCTTTGGGCAATGGTGCTAGTGGAGCGGAAGGAGCCATTTGCGATTTTCGTTTATTACGTTTTTCTGAAACGATGGGAGTAAAGTTAACATTTTGTTTTTTTTTTTTTTTTTGATAATGTTTTTAGCAACATGTAGCCACATGAATGTAATATATTTGAAATTATGAACATTGTGAGATACGTGAACGACATAAATTGATGTGGGGATGTATGTAACTGTTTTCATGGGGTCCATATAACATTAGTGATAACTAATTAACTTGAAAGTTTAACATTTAATAGAAGCATTGCGGAAGACAGCTACACAGATTTGTACTTACACGATTAATATATACATAAATGAAAAGGTTTAGAGGGAATTTATTTTTTTTATTATAATATACAGGATGAGATAAAAAAACTGCAACATAGTCAAACACCATGCTTTTTACATTTTTTTTTTTTAATTTTATTAAATGAAAGCAAAAAATGTCGGAAATAGCATCAAATTTTAGAATAAGTTTAGATTTGTTCGAATTGGTCATTGGATATATGGCCTTCAAACGGCAAATGAAACTGTCACACGCTGCTCGAATGTTGCCATGCGGTATTTTGGCCCATTTCCGGCGAAGCGCTTGCTTGAGGTGACCGACACATTGGTATTTTTTAGAGCCAACCTTGCTTTCCAAAATACTCCATACACAATAGTCCAACGGATTGTTTAAAATGGGGAAGTTCCGTGCTTTCGGAAAGACACCCATACTTGTCAATTCCCTAGGTGTTTCTCTGGGGATATTCTCAACAGGAGTTATCAAAAAAAAAACAACTCCCATGACAACAATTTTTATACCCTCAGCCATATGGCTAGAGAGGCTATATATCATTTGATTCGGTCAAAACGTGCCTAGTCCAAAAAACGGTTTTAGGCCCTAGGTCTCTTTGGATCAAATCCGTTTCTGGACATTTGGATTCGATCTAGCGATGTCCGCCTGTCTGGCTGGCTGCTGCGCACGATAACTCTCGAAGGGAGTGTCCGATTTGGACAATATCAGTCCACTCCTTCTGGTACCTCCCCCACAAAATGTCGAAATTTTCAAAAAATATATTTTCTGCACATAAAGATGATCAGATTTTGCTCCAACTTTGCAAATCAGGTCAGGTGCGAAAATGGACAATATCGGTCCAATATCAAGTGCTTTCCCCACAAAGGTTAAAAATTTTGAATAATTACAAATCTTATAAAATGTGATGGAAGAGTCCGCTTGTCTTCAAATTTCACGCATCCCAATAATTTTTAATAACCCAAGGTCTGGTGTTAAGATGGAATATATCGATCCACTCCTTCTGGTACCTGCCCCACAAAAGGTCGAAATTTTGAATATCCATGAAGCTCATAAAACTCGAAATAAACATCCGATTCCATTTAGATATATCGGTCCTCTCCTTCTAGTACTTCCCCCACAAAAGGTCAACATTTTGAATATTCTTGATGCTCATAAAACTCGAAATTAATTTCCGATTCTATTCATCTCAATATTTCCATCAACACAAGATCTGTTATAAAGATGGTAGTAATCGCACCATTTGTTTTGGTACCTCCTCCACATAGGGTTCAAGATTTTGAAAAACAACTCGCGAAATAGCAACCAACTCTTTTCAAATTTTAGATATCCAATTATTTTTGCTAACGCAAGATCTGTTGTGAAGATGATATATATCTGCCAACCCCTTCAGGTACCTCACCCACAAAGGGTCGCAATTTTCAATATTTATCTGTCATAACTTGCGAAACAAGTCGACGATTCTTTATAACTTGCTATATTTAAATATTTCTTTAAACCAGAAATCTGATATGAATATGCTATTTATCGGAATTTATGATTTTGCATAAAATTGCTTTCAATTTCCTTCAAATTTTGCACATACTTATATTTTTTTATGTATTAGATGAAATTTGATAATGGAATACTCTAAAAAATACTTCTAAAAATGTACACATATCTCATATAAAGTATAGGAAGTATTCGAAGTAGTCCAAATCTGGTACGATGTAATATTTATATCAGTCTTAGGTCAGATACGAATTGGTCAAAATGGACCAATTGCTTCGGAACCTCCCCCATAAATGGTCAATAGTTTGAATAATCATAACTCAAGTCTGGGGGCATACAGCTGTCGGCGAAACTGACTGATACTGTTTAACTTGTTTATACCAAAGTGAGGATTGAAAGCTCAATAGAACTAAACTAAATCTTACAACCGCTCTTATAAACATTTCTGCACTGCTATGCTTTCTCTAGGAAAATGAAATCAGCATAACTAGCATATTCGTTTTGTTTGATATAACAAAAACCTTTCTTTGACGGTGCCTAGCCTATAAATAGAACAAGGTTGACATTTATTTATTATACCCTACACCCCAAGGTGGTCAGGGTATTATGTCTTTGTGCATTTGTTTGTAACAGGCAAAAGGAAACGAGATAGACCCATAGTTCCTTTTGATGATCTGCATAGAATCACATTCTGAGTCGATTTATGCATGTCCGTCCGTCTGTCCGTCTGTCCATGTATTTTTGTAAACAAAGTACAGGTCGTATTTATTGCCCGATCCAGATGAAATTTTGCACAGATCATTTGTTTGGTCCAAGGACGAACCCTATTGAAATTGGAGATAATCGGTCAAAATTTACATATAACTCCCATATATATCTTCGTCCGAGTTGCTTTTTATTGTGCACCAAACGTGTAATATCAGCCTGAATTGTATGGAATTTTGCGTATACACCCAAATTAGGCCTGAAAATAAGTATGCCAAATTTGATCGAAATCGGTTCAGATATAGCTATAGCTCCCATATATATCGTTCATCCAATTTGTTATTTTTGCCCTCCGCAGCCGTAATATGCACTCTGCAACAACAATATTTGGGGAAAAATATCAAATACAGCTCAAAAATACATTTGCAAAATTTTATCGAGATCGGTTCAGATTTGGATATAGCTCCCATATATAACTTCGTCCGATTTACTTTTTATTGTGCACCAAACGTCTAATATTTGTCCAAATGGGATGGAATTTGGCACTTACGACCGAATTGAGTCTAGAAGCTAATATATCAAATTTGGTAAAGATCGGTTCAGATATAGCTATAGCTTCCATATATATTATTCATCCGATCTGTTATATTTGTTACCCATAGCCGTAATATGCACTCCGTAACAACGATATTCAGGGAAATATATCAAATACAGCTCAGAAATATCTTTGCAAAATTTTATCAAGATCGGTTCAGATTTGGATATAGCTCCCATATATATCTTTATCCGATTTCAAATTAATTGTGCACCAAATGGGCAATAAAATTCCGAATTTAAAAGATACAAACGCTTGGCATATTTAGTCCTTTGAACTTTAAATTATAATTATAAGCATAGCGTGTATGATTGAATTCTCCCATAAAAACTTTTAATTGTTATGTGGAGCTCTACTAAATTAGCAAAGTGGTGTAGGGTATCACAAAGTCGGCCCCGCCCGACTTTAAGACTTTCTTTACTGGTTTTTGATATCGTAGTTGTTTTGTTTTTGTAAAAAAAGGCAGACTTCTACACTAATAAATATAGACGATTTTAGCTATGTACACAACAATAATAAAATTAAGCCTGACTATTTTGCAAGAACAAAATATCTGCGGCAGGGCAACAAAGAAAATCCAAGACGGTTGTATTTCATAAAAATATTACATAGACCACAAACAAAATTATCTCAGTTGAAAGTTTTATTTTTATATCGGTGAGTTATTATTGAAACTTTGACTAAAACGATATTAATGTTGTGCTTGATCATGATTTGGGTAATAATACATTCAAGAAAGATTCGAATGCATTGAATGAATGGGTATAGATTTTCGGAATCAATGAAATTATGCAAAAACAAGTTGATATGAATATATCTAATATGCAAACACATTTTGCTACTTTCCAAAAAGAATTTGGACTTTCTGAAAAATTGTTAACAAACGATGTTTGAGGTTAATCACCTAATATTGCTATTGAATAGATATTTTTATAACAATAATAATAAAACACAAACAAACAACAAAAGCAGAGCATAAAACAAAAGCTAACCTAATTTCTTACGGTTTCTTGTTTCAATGGTTTTATCCACAGCCCGGTAAAATGAGTCACATTCATCTTCGGAGACAAAATTCAATGCGATATGTCCATCCTGGAAATGGAGATGGGGTAGAAAAGAATAAATAATTATTTTCATCTCAAAAGCACACACACACATACCTGTCCCTCAAAAGTCAACAGAAACGAACGCGCTTTATTTATTTTCATGGCATCGTACAGTTCATGCTCCCATATCAGTTCATGTTTGATCAGGCAAAATGCTCGTAAAAAATAGGAACGTAAATCCCAATCTTTGACAAAACATACAACGCCGGTGTATTTCTTTTTCCAATGCGAGTGAGCGGAAGCTTCGGTTTTGTAGATTTGTACCACGGCTGTGTTTAAAGTCTGGAAGTAGAGAAAACAGACAAAATTAGTTACAATTGAATATTCTATGAAATTGTGAGTTTAAAAAAAAATAATTTGTTTCCAATTAAAAATTAAAGCGCTAGAATGAATGAACCTTCTCAAATGCCAGACCGGGATAAACTGAACGAACTGACGTGACTTGTGTCCCTTTGCAAATTTTTCCTTTTCTCCTTTAATTTAATAGAGGTTTATTTTTAAATTATTATACTTGTTGGTTGGTCGGTTGGTGTAATTTCCTTGACCAACACCTACCTATCTTTATGTCAGGAAAAACACTACACTGTGGTTGCATGCTCCCAAAATTGCAAAATATTCTATACAAGGGGTAATTTTTCTGTGGCTACAGATAAAAGTGAGGCTTGTCGAAATAACGATTTTGAATAAAAAAAAATGCTTAAACAAAAACGAAAATATAAATAAAATACCTCTCAAATGATTCCCTTTATTTGGTGCCTATACATAGACGCGGCCCTTCACAAATAATTTTTTGTCATAGGCTGTAGTACCGATTCCCAACTTCAAATACGAAATTTGAAACAATTCCTGTGAATAATGTTGCTAAAATGATAAAAATACCCAATATCGGGAAATACCGTTATATGTGGGCTACACGATTTTCAGTCTAAGGCTGTAGTACCAATTACGTTTGAACAATTTCGGCGAATAATGCCGCTAAAATCGTCAAAATACCGAATATCGGGAGTTACCGTTATATGGGGGCCTATACGAAAACGTGGACCGACATTTTTGATTCCAAATGTCCTGAGGACGGTATTTTGACGATTTTAGCGGCATTATTCACCGGAATTGTTCAAACGTAATTGGTACTACAGCCTAAGACTGAAAATCGTGTAGCCCACATATAACCATATCTTCCGATATTCGGTATTTTTATCATTTTAGCAACATTATTCACCGGAATTGTTTCAAATTTCGTATTTGAAGTTGAGAATCGGTACTACAGCCTATGACAAAAAATTATTTGTGAAGGGCCGCGTCTATGTATAGGCCCCAAATAAAGGGAATCATTTGAGAGGTATTTTTCTACGGATTTTTTTTTTTTTTTTGATATTTTCAAGTTCCTTTAATATGGTGGAGAGTAAAGTTCGACCCGGTGTTTTATTTATTTATTTATTTTTTTTTTTTTGGGAAATTTCTTTCAATGATCTCCCATGAATCATTAATTTTATTGTCAATATTCTTTCAAGTATCACTTTAGCATTACCCTTAGATTTTTTAGATATTCATTCAGATTTAAAACTTTTTATACCCAACACCACACCGCGGAGAGGGTATTATGTCTTTGTGCATTTGTTTGTAACATGGAGAAGGAAGGAAACGAGATAGACTCTTCGGAATCGTTTTAACAAAGACAAGCCCGATTGAAATTTGTGATAATCTGTCCAAATTTAGATATAGCTCCCATACATATATTCGTCCGATTCCACTTTTTTTGTGGCCACATGAGTAATATACGTCCAAAGGGAATGTATTTCGGCACATCCGACCGAATTCAGCCTAGAGATGAAAAAACTGCAACCAACTTCAGACTGCTGTCATTTTTAAACCACTCGTCCGACAGATGTTAAAATTATTCCAGTGACAGCTCAGTATATTGTTTACAATCGTACAAAAGCATTTTGGTGAGAATTTTCCAGAAAAAATGTTATTCGTTATGGAATTCAAACGTGATAGTGTAATTTCTTTATATTTGGCTGGAAAACCACAAGTGGCTATCGTTAGAGCACTCCAGCATTTAAATGTGAATAAATCTTTTGTGTCTCTCGTTCCATTGCTCGTTACCGTGATACTGGTAGCGTAGCTCGACGTCAAGGAAGTGGACGGAAGAAAACAGCAACATCAGCAGAAATGGTTCGATGAAGTAAAGAAGCGATTTCATCGAAAAACGCTTCGCAGTGGACGTAAAATGGCTCGTTAGCTGAACATATCGCAATAATCCATTCGGCAAATATTGAAAATGAGCTCGGGGTAAAGCCATTACAATTCCAAAAAATGCAAGAACTTACACCGCAACAGAAAGAAAATAGACTCCAGAGAGCTAAAGAGTTGCTTCGCTTGGCCGAAAGTAGTGAACTGCCGAATTTGGTTTTTTCCATTGAGAAAACATTCTTTGTCCAGCAGTTTGTAAACAAACAAAATGATCGTGTTTACTTGCCAAAGAGGTCAGGTGAAAATGTGCACCTTCGGTTGGCCGCAGACCTTGGACATTCCAACAGGACTCAGCCCCATCGCACTCAGCAGGCGATACCCAAGAATGGTTACAAAATGAGGTTCCTCGCTTCATTTCCAGCGCACAATGACCACAAAAATCTCCGGGCCAATACCAATCCGTTGAACTATTGTGTCTGGAGTATTTTGGAAAGCAAGGTTGGCACTAACAAATACCAAAGTGTCGATCACCACATGCAAGCGCTTCGCCGGGAATGGGCCAAAATACCGCAGAGCAACATTCGGGAAGCGTGTGACGGTTTCATTGGCCGTTTGAAGGCCATATTTCGTGCCAAAGGTGACCAATTCCAACAAATCTAGGCATATTCTAAAATTTGATGCTATTTTCGACATTTTTGTTCTCATTCAATAAAATTTAAAAAAAAAAGTATAAATTATGGCGTTTGACTTTGTTGCAGTTTTTTATCTCACCCTGTATATCATAAATATCTATGTTTTTGTTTCATCCGATTTGGTGTTTAAGTCCCTTACATTCGGCCAAATTTTATCGAGATTTGGATATATATCTTCATCCGAAATCAGGTTTATTGTGCACCAAATGACTAATATACGCATAAATGGAGTGATTTTCCGAATTCAGCCTAGAAGCCAGTATATCAAATTTGGTGAAAATCTTTTCAGATAACGCTGTAGCCGCCATATATATGTTCTATCCGATTTGGTGTTCAAGTCCCTCACATTCGTAATATGCACACACGATAGTGAAATCTGGTACCGTATATCATATACAGCTCAAAAATACCTCAGCCAAATTTTATGGAGATCGGTTCAGATAACCGATTCCACGGTTATTGTTCACCATATGTGCAATATCGGCCAAAATTGGATAGGATTTTCTTCATATTTAACCGAATTTATCCAATTGATGGAACTTGGCTCCGATATGTTTTTAATATAACCCTACTAGAAATCAAAAATGCCTTCGTTAAAATTGGTGAAAATCAATTCAGAAGTGGATATACCTCCATTATACATCTGAAATCAAATTATAACCGTTCAAAAGCCATGATAGCCATTCAAATAAGGTTCATGGTTGGTATGATCTACTTCATATAAATTCCCAATATAATCTTTTTTTGTTACGGCAACTACTAAATTTGTCATATAGCCGACCCCGTCCAAATTTTTACCTTTGCTTACTGGTTTTATTTCACTTATGTATTCCAACTTAATCGGGGATTTAATCGTGCTGTTATATATTTTTTAAGGGTCCATCTTAGCTATAGCTGTGGATATTTAAAGTAAATTTTAACATGTCCAGAGGGAGTCTTGTCGTTCCTGGTTCTACATTATCCATTGTCCCTGCAAGAACGTTCTAAGAGACCACTCCAAAAGATTTAATTTTCTGACATTTTATTCGAGATTGGCAACGTTTTGCTAAAGCCCTCATATAACGGGATCGCTTCGCTTTAAAATACAAAACGGACTATTTTGGAAATGAAACAACAGTTCAAGACTTAATTTTGTTTTGTAATTGTTTTTGAAAAAATTTCAACCCCATTATAATTTTTCGCCTTAATATCCCAGCTATTTGGACATTTTAGTCCACTGTTTGGCAATGAATCGCGAATAAGTAGCAGCAGAAAAATTCAAAGGTAGTCATCATATCGTTACTTAAATAACATCATTTCATTTCGTATCAATTCATATGCGTGAATATTTGCTGCATACAAATGAAGTACTGCTGAAGTAGTCGCGGAGCAGCAGATTTGTTTGTCAGCAGCTAGCTGCAATCACTTCCGCTTCGTGCCCACTTTTATAGACATTTATAGTATGGATGGGGGAGGAGGAGGGTTGACGATTTAAATATGGCTTGTTGGCTAGATGTTTATGGCTAAATAGACAAATGATTGGACGATGACGCCGACGTGGTAGCAAATTGCAGCAGTGGCAGCTGTTTGCTGCAATCTCTAATAACAAAAAAATAAGGGTTATATCAACGAAAGCAGCAGTAAAAACAAAAGGTGAATTGCGTTTTTCTAGCCGTTTTGGTATGTCAGGCACGTTTGAATAATATCAACTATTGTCGCCAAGTGTGTTGGTGACAGATAGTCAAAAAGAGAGCCATAGCCAAGCTAAGCCAGCCCAGCCAGCCAGCCAGCAAGCAAACAACAGCAGTAGCAGCAATTTGTGTATTATGGCCAGGTTATAATGCAAAAAAAAAAAGAAAGAAATATCTGAAAATTTATTTTTAAATGATTTGAATTGCAGCCATAGTCCGCCTCCCTCCCCTCCCTTTTAAAAGTATTTTAGTTGATTGTTCGGCATGTGTACGCTGGGTAGTTTAGTAATCTTCTGTGGCTGCCTATTGGCCAAGAAATAATGTCTGTTTTAGGTCTTAGTCTTTTTCTAATGTGGAAGATTTGAAAATTATGAAAACTTTGAGAGGCTACAAAGATTTTTTCCAAACAGAACCGGGACGAGTATCTCTAAAAATTTGGGTCGTGGCAAAAAATACTACTTATGATGCTATGGCGCTAATTTTCTGAAGTGTCACCACATAGCAAAATTGTTGGATCCACATAATTCAGCCTAGAAGTAAGTGTATTAAGTTTGGCGAAAACGGTTCAGATATAGCTATAGCTCCCATATATATGTTTCATCCGATTTAATGTATAAGTTCTTCGCACATAGCAAAATGTTAGGATCCACATAATTCAGCCCAGAGGCAAGTGTATCAAATTTGGTTAAAATCGGTCCAGATATAGATATAGCTCCCATATATATGT